ATCGAAAAATTCATCCGACATCGAAAATGTCACCGTAAAATTCAATCGATATCAAAAAATTCACTAAAAACTAAAAATTTTTGCCAGAATCTAGGAATTTTCTAGATTTTTCAAAAAAAAAATCATTTTTTTAACCCAAAAAAACTCTGAATTTTTTTTACTGCTTTCTACATTTCTGTGTGATCTACCTTTCTTTGATCTTTATGTGTTTCTCCTTTGTTCCTTTGTGTTTTTGTGTACATGTATGTATAGGATTCTGAGTCTGAGAACTCTAAACAAGAAAAGAGTTCTAATTTTCTCGAAATCCGAACTTCAAATCCTAAATTTATCATAAATTTGATAACTCCGAAGAAATAACCCTAACCAATCCAACCACCTTAAAATTTTTCTATTTTTTTCATTTTTTCTTAATTTTCATAAACAAGTAGAACCCTAGATAGATTGGGGTGTCTACAATGTTCTTTTAACTATACTTTTATGACTTCAACAATAAATTTCAAAATAGAATAAGACTATAATACAATGAAAATTTAAATGCAAAAATGATGGAAATACTAATAATAATTTTGGAAAAAAATTTTTATGTTCAAGTCTTACATAGATTAAAAAATATATCTTTTTGTGAGGATTTGAAATTTGTATTGCAAAAATATTAATCCAAATCAACAAGTTTATAATTACTTACTTGTTAATCAAGTTGTTGCTATATGGATTGAGGAAAACAATTCAAACATTTCATTTGATATCGTAATTCATACTTATTTAGGAATACAATATAAAGTTAAACATTATTTAGATTGTTATGACCCCTTACAACATTTTTTAATCCTTCCAAATAGAGAAGTTCATTAGTATCAAAATATTAAAAAAGTCATTTTAAATGATGGTAATAAGAATGAAGTAATAATTAAAAATATATTATTTTTTGTTTATTAGAGAAACTTTTTTATGAAAAATGCGTAGGTATTCATTGTGAATTAAATATTTTAAAATTATTGTCTATTTAATTTTTATAAATTTTATTTAGTAAATGTCTTTTCATTACTTTTATCATATATATAACAAAAGTTTTACATAAAACTATATATTTAAAGATAGAAACATAAGAAAAATTTTATTACTTCAATTAGTGATAGAACATTTCAAAAATTTTAATATTTGATATGCAATTTTACTTTGCTAATAGTTTTGAAAACACATACACTAATAATTCAATGAAATCATCAATGAAATTTATCTTAATATGTATTATTTTACCACAAACGAAAAAATTTAAAGAATATTTTTAAAATATTGACTTAATATGTATTTGTATATATTTATTTAATTTAGTTTTAATATTTGCATTAGTATAAAAAGTTATTATTTTAACTTATTATTACTTGCTAAATCATTGATAGTAAATTAAGAACATTTACTCATATTTTTTAAGTTATTTATACTTAAACCTTTTCTTCTTTCTTTCTTTCCTTTACAAATTACATTTTCTAATATACATGTGATATACACAAATCAATGATAATATCGTAATAAATAATTAATAGCTTAGTAATTAATCATTGACAACTTAAATATAATTATTATAATTTAGTAATAATTATCGATAACTTAACAGTAAATTAATGATAACTTAATAGTAGATTAATGATATTTTAATAGTCAATAATTGATAACTTTTTATTAAATCAGTAATAATACAATAATAAATGCATAATACCTTAATGGTAAATTAATCATAATATAATTGTAAATGTATAACAACATAGCACTAAATCAAGGATAACTTAATAAAAAATAAGTAATAACTTAGTAGTTAATTATTGATAAGTTAGTAATAAATCAATGATACTTAATAGTAAATTAGTGATAATTTAATAGTAAATCAATTTTAATTTAATAATAATTAATTTATAGTAGTAAATCATAAACAAATTAGTAGTAAATCAATTATAAATTAGAAGTAAATAATTGATAATTTAGTAGTTAACCATTGAAAATTTAAAAGTAAATCAGTATAACTTAATAGTAAATCATTGATAATATAAAAGTTAATTAGTGATAACTTAATAGTAAATCATTCATAATTTAATATTAATCAATAATAATTTGATGGTGAATCATTGATAATTTAATGGTAAATTGACGATAATTTTGTAATAAATAATTAAAATTTAAGTAGTAAATTAGTGACAATATAATACTAAATACAAAAAAATATAATAGTAAATTATTAATAATTTAGTAGTAAATCATTAATAACATAGTAGTAAATTATTAATAACTTTGTTATAAATCAGTGATAATTTTGTAAAAAATTAGTTAATCATTAATAAGTATTTAGTAAATTATTAATAAATTAGTAATAAATCAATTATAATTTTATAATAAATTATCAATAACTTAGCAATAAATCACCAATAATTTAATGATAAATCATTCATAACTTAATCACAAATCATTCATAAATTAGTAGTAAATAATTGATAACTAAATAGTAAATAATTAATAACTTAGTAGTAAATAACTGATAATTTAATTATTAATCATCGATAACTTTCTTTATTTTTAAACTTGGTAGGGATTAAACCCTGATTACTATCAGAAATGATAGCAAAACTTTTATTTTTGAGTTAAGATAAACCTACTATAAATTTATTCAATAAAAAAATTAGTAAAAAATTTTTAATTTGAATAAAATAATAATGTTATTATATAAAATGAACATTATCTCATATATTATTGGTGGATTTTTAAATTTCATATTTCATAGTTATAAATTTACAACAACATATTGGTAAATTAATAATAGGTTAATAAAAAAATAAGTGATAACTTAGTGGTTAATAATTGATAACCTAATAATAAATTAATGATAGCTTAATAGTAAATTGGTGATAATGTAATAGTCAATCAGTTTCAGTTTAATAGTAATTAATTAATAAACTTAGTAGTAAATAATAAATAACTTACTAATAAATCAATAATAATTGTGTTATTAATCAATGAAAACTTAAAAGTAAATCAATATAATTTAGTAATAGTTAATCATCAATAACTTAGTAGTTAATCATCAACAACTTAATATTAAATTATGGATAATTTAATATAAATTGGTTATAATTTGATAATGAGTCATGATTAATTTAGTAATAAATTTACGATAATTTTTTAGTAAATAATAAAAAACTTAAATAGTAAATCAATCATAATAGTAAATCACTAATAATTTAGTTGTAAATCAATAATAATTTAGTAGTAAATTAATTAATCATTGATAATTTTGTAGTAAATTATAGATAAATTAATAGTAAATCAGTTGCAATTTTATAACAAATCATTAGCAATTTAATAGTAAATTATCAACAATTTAATAGTAAACCAGCTGTAAATTAGTAACAAATTATTCACAAATTAGTAGTAAATCAATGTTAATTTGTAATAAATTATTGATAATTTAGCTGTATATCATTAATAGTAGTAAATCGTTGGTAACATAATAGTAAATCAATAATAACTTAATTATTAATTACTAATAAATTTTTTATAATTAAAGTTGGCAAGAATTGAACTCGGTTACTAATAGAAACGGAATTAAAAATTTCATCTTGGGAGGTTAAGATAAACATACCATAAATCTATTTAATAAAAAACTTAATGAAAAAATTATAAATTAGAATGAAACAATAATGTTATTATATAAACAAAAATTTATCTTATACTAGAACTAAACTCATACTTTCCTACTAAAATCTATTGTTAAATATATGATAACACAAATTTTATCAATAATTATAAAAAATATATCATAAATTACCAAAACATTTTACTAAAATTTTATCAAAGATTACCAAAATTGTATCAATGGTTACTAAAATTGTATCGGTAATTACCAAAATTATATCATAAGTTACCAAAATTATATTGAAGTTATTAAAAATTTATCAACAGTTATCAAATTTTACATATATTATATCAATTAAAATTAAATTATTAGTATTTATTATTGTTATTATTATAGTATAAAAAATTATTTATTGACATGAATTTCTAAAGATAAGAATTACTCGTGCATTATGCACGTATCAACTTCTAAATTATAATCTAATGTCTATAATCAGCTAACAAAATTCTAAAAATGACATCAAAATGTTACTAAAACTTTGACAAAAATTACCAAAATTGTATCAATGATTATCAAAATTATATCTATTGTTACCAAAATTATATCATAAGTTACCAAAATTGTATTGAAGTTACCAAAAATTTATCAAAAGTTATCAAATTTTACTTATATTATATCAAAATTAAAATTAAATTATTTGTATTTATTAGTATTAATATTATTATAGTATAAAAAATCATTTACTGACATGAAATTTCTAAAAATCAAAACTACATGTGTATTATGCACGTATCAACTTCAAAACTATAATCTAATTTATAAGTCAGCTGACAAGATTCTAGAAATAACATTAAAATGTTACCAAAATTTTGACAAAAATTACCAAAATTGTATCAACTGTTACCAAAATTATATCATAAATTATCAAAATTGTATTGAAGTTACCAAAACTTTATCAAAAGTTATCAAATTTTACTTATATTATATCAAAATTAAAATTAAATTATTTGTATTTATTATTATTAATATTATTATAGTATAAAAAATCATTTATTGACATGAATTTCTAAAAATAAAAACTACACCTGTATTATGTACGTGTCAATGTTTAAAATATAATCTAAATAGGCTAACAAGATTCTAGAAATGACATCAGTTAATAATGGAAGAAAATTTTGAATTTTAATTTTATTTTATTTTCTTGTTTCCTTCTGATTCCTTTCTGATTAAATTTTATTATACAATTCTATCAAAAAAATCCAAATGAAGCCAAAAGCGGCCTTCTAAAGCATCAGTCTTCAGCTCATAAAAGCTTGTATAAAAGGGGAATTAATGTTTAGTTCATAAAAACATCTGAATTCATTGTTAAGAGACGAAAATGAATTCCACAGCAAAGTTTTTAATCCTTCTCACAAGTTTTTTGTGCCTGTTTCTCCTCATCACTCTATTCAAATTCCTTCACAAATATTGGTGGATACCTTTCCGCATACAGTACGCACTGAGTTTACAGGGAATCAAAGGACCTCCTTATGAATTCATCCATGGAAACAGCAAAGCATCTGTCCAATTCAGGAAAGAAGCATTCAGCAAACCCATGGCATCCTTGACTCATGATATATTTCCGAGGGTGCTGCCTCATTTTTACTCCTGGATCAACATATATGGTGAGATAATTCCGATGTTTTTCACATGGAATATGTTTCTAACTTCAAATAAAAAAAAATGAACCCTTTTTTTTTGTTCTTTTATTAGGGAAGAATTATCTTACCTGGGAAGGAACTCGAGCTCAACTGGTAATTTCAGAACCAGAACTAGTCAAAGAGGTTCTGAAAAATATTGAAGGATCTTTTCCGAAAACGAAGTTTAAAAACTTTATCTATAAGATACTCGGGGACGGGCTTGTGGCAGCCGAAGGTGAAAAATGGGCCAGGCAAAGGAAGTTGGCAAATCATGCTTTTCATGGGGAGAGCTTAAAAGTAAAACTTCGAACAAAGTCTATTTTGTACTGACATTTAAGAGTTATGAATTAGTTTCTTACAGAATGGATGGTTGTGTTTGGCAGAGCATGAATCCAGCAATAATTGCTGCCATTGAGACAATGCTAGAGAAGTGGAAAGGCCGAGAAGGGAAAGAGATCGAAGTGTTTGAACAATTCAGGTTACTGACTTCAGAAGTTATATCTAGAACAGCTTTTGGTAGCAGTTACTTGGAAGGGGAGAAGATTTTTCAAATGTTGATTAAATTATCAGTACTTGCTAGCAGAAATCTTCATAAATCTCGGATTCCTGGCATCAGGTAAGTTAATTTGTAACATTCCAACCTCACGTTGAGATATTATAAAGATCTGCTATAATATATGCAAATATTTAAATCCATAATATTTTTGTGAGATAAAATCACCAAACTTTCAAGTCAAATTGAATAATATCTTGGTTAGGTGCGGTCTTCACATGATTAATCTAGACTCCGGAGTTTGCCCCTGATTTCCAAATAGAAAGGAAATACCTAGAAGTCACTTGAGTGTAAAATCTGAAATATGATCCCGAAGGATTTAGTTTTTCTCCTTTTTTCCTTGTATATGGCTTATACCTTTGTTTGCTTTTGCAGCAAGATTTGGAAAACTACGGATGAAATAGAATCAGAAAAGCTTGCTAAAGGAATACATGAATGTGTGATGGAAATGGTTAAGAAAAGGGAAGAGAAAATAGTGACTGGAGAAGCGGACAGTTTCGGCAGTGATTTTCTAGGATTACTTGTCGATGCTTTTCACGATTCGGATGAGAAAAACAGGCTCTCCGTAGAAGACTTAGTAGATGAGTGCAAAACATTCTACTTTGCTGGACAAGAAACCACTAATTCCTTGCTCGTATGGACAGTCCTGCTTTTAGCAATCCATACAGATTGGCAAGAGAAAGCAAGACGAGAGGTGATCGAGGTATTTGGTGACAAAAATCCTCATTCTGAAGGCATTTCCAAACTAAAAACTGTAAGCAAAACCGCAATCTCAGACCATTTCAATAGCGTGCATTACCAGCATTTAATAAATTATAAATTTATTTTGCTCACAGATGAACATGATCATCAATGAAACCCTGAGATTGTATCCTCCTGTATCTGCCATATCTAGAAATGTTGCAAGAGACGTTCAATTGGGAAAGCTCATTATTCCTGTTAATATGGTGGTTATAATCCCGATCATAGCACTTCACCATGACCCTCAACTATGGGGTGATGATGCGCATCTTTTCAAACCAGAGAGATTTGCAGAAGGTATTGCCAAAGCTACCAAATACAATGCAGCTGCATTCATTCCCTTCTCATTGGGACCTCGATCATGCGTGGGTATGAGCTTTGCAACCACAGAAACAAAGACTGCTCTCTCAATGATCCTACAACGCTACTCTATTACTCTCTCCCCAGCCTATATTCATGCGCCATTTCCTCAACTTATGGTTCAGCCACAACATGGACTTCAAGTAATGCTTCATTCTCTACAGAGTGATGCCTGAAGTTTTTTAATGCAATAGCTGCTTCTATTAGTGTCCAAACGGTAAAATATTCATAATAAATAAGAAACAGTTTTAAATAATGGTGTGATCAATGCACACAGAGTTCTTACCAGCCATTTTTGGCTCCTAATTATGTATCAATTCAAGTTTTTAAATTGGGTGATCCTTGACATGCTGTCAGAGCCTTTCAGTTTTAAATAATTTGTATCTCTTTTCCATATTTCTTGGCTACTTACTGGTGTAGGGAACCGGGTAACTGGTGGATTTGTCCACTACTGTATCCAAAATGCCAGTTGCATGGCAGTTGCAGCAAGAAGGAAAAGCAAAAAACTTGGAGGTTATTTGATCACCACTAAGTTGCGCAAGGATTTCTGGCTCTTAGCTTAAACAAAACAGCATTATTTTTTTAATTAGCCTTCAACTCTTTTCAACAAAGGGGATTCTAATCTTACTCCAGAATATATGTGATTTTCCTAGTGTTATTGTTAGTAAGTAATACTATTAAAGTCAAAGGAAAAAGAGGGTTTGGTGTGTGAATGAAAAAGTTTTTGTGTCATTGTTGATGGCCCTGGATTATGGCTAAGGGAAAGACAATTGGGTCCCTTGACCCCTTTAGGATCTCTTCCGGTGCTACAGTGGCCTAAAAGAAGCAGATGATTCAACAACTTTTGTTTTTTTGGAACTCATACCTGAATCTGCAAAACTCCATAACCGTATCAAGCATGGTTATACTTAGAATAATTTGGCCTTCTGACATGGCTTCTGCTTGAATCATGCAACGTTTTCTTATCAGCTGTTTTACAATATAAGTGCTTTCAATCTGATTAACTGGTAAATTTTGTGTGATATTGCCATGTCTGTAGACCAACTCATTCAAAAAAGGCCATTTCAAAGGGGGGATTGACAACCAAATTAACCTTGTACGCTAGAATGTTCATGATATAAATGATAAAGATTTCTAGAAATTAGAATTCAAATTTTAGCATATTCAACTATCAAAAATAAAATCTCATTTTTTAAAAAAATTATTGATCAAGATCCTCTACAATACTACATCAAATTTGCAAAATTAAAGTTCACATATTCTTTGATCTTTTCTAGATTTCAAAAGAATAAACCATTTTGTTTTCAAACATTTAGAGTTTTTTCTAATATTTTATGTATTATTATTATTTTTTATTTCTTTACATTGTGATGTTCTAAACTATTAAACACAATATTGAAATTTTTCTTAAAATTAAAGTAAAAAAAGGGAAATAAAAGAAGTGAAGTGATGTGAAATTAAATACGAATATTTGTTTTAAAATGAAAGAAGTGAAATAGTATAAAAAACAAAAAAAAAAAAAGGAGATACATAAGCATATGCATGAGAACTAAGTAATGACAACTAAGTAAGAACACATAATTCTTTTTCTTTTTCTTGTTCTCTGCCTTTTTAATAATAAGAATGTAGAAAGAATTGAATTCACTAATTTTTTGGCCAATCAATTCACTAATTCAAGCCATATTTAAATCTTTTATATACACAATTAGCAGTAAAGGTGCATAGAAACAATAGGCAAATTGTATATATTTCTTATGGTTCTATCAACTATAACATTGTCATTATTTAAAATTTTCAAGTAAAAGATTGTTAAGGGAATATAATGGTCAAAAGGGCATAGTGGTCTTTTCTCCTCCTTCAATCTTCAGCAAACAACTAAAGGTATCTTGGTCATTTGTGCCAACTTGACATGTCAGGTCGGTCTGACATCTCCAGTGCTACCTCAGCTCGGCCCTATCCTAATTGTCCCTTTTTTGTCCCCCTTAACTTACCTATAAATATGGAAACTCAAGCACCATAAAGCGAAGTTCATATAACTCATATATTTCCTTTTTTCCTGCTTTCTCACTTTTTTTTTGACCTGATCCTTACTGACTTGTGCGTCATAGTGCAAATGCAAGAAATACCCCTTACCTTTTCCTCTAATCGTTCTTCCTTTTTGCATCTACAAGAATACCCTCAATTTGGAGCTTGGCACCAACATTTGACGTGCCAGGTATGGACTCTAACATTTTTACATTAACCGAGCACAAAACAATACCACTAAGAAAAATAACCCAAAAGGAAGGAAAGACAACGACTTTACTAGAACAAAAACTCACTAAAGCCAGCATTCTGTTTACCCACCTCAACCACAGGGGGGCAACCATAGAGCAATTTCAAGCCTAGACCAAGCACATATAAGCCCTTAAACAGATGTTGCAAACTATAACCTCACCACAAGTTTCTAAAATGCTAGACTTAGTCACATCGGGTCGACAAGCTATTGACGAGTAATTGAGCTACGAAAAGATGAAAGCCTCTTTGGCCTTCAGAGAAGAACAACACACCAATCTGACTCCTCACCACCCCGACCACAATTCTACACATGCCACAACCTAAAAATTCAAATAAATAGACCATGAACTCTAACCAAACAGAGATTTGAAAGCTCGAATGCTGGCCATAGAGAAAAAATTGAAAACAAAACCAGCAGCATTTAAGGATAAGCTCAAATTTTTGGAGACCACACCCTTTACCGAAGAGATTGATAGAGCCATACCTCCTAAAGGATTCAAAATGTCGACCTTGGATACATAGGATGGTACTTCTGACGCCTTTGATCATTTAAAACTTTATAAAACTAACATGATGATACAAGGACAGATAAGGCTCTAATGTGCAAGGTTTTGGCCATACTTTGAAAGGTGTAGCTCTATCTTGGTATAACAATCTAGAGCTGAGGTCGATCACTACTTTCAAGAAACTTATCCACTCATTCTTGTCTGAATTTGTGAATAGCTGAAAAGTTAAGAAAACAACCCTAAGCTCATGTCAATTCATCAAAAGTGAAATGAAACTTTAAAAAGCTATGTCACATATTTTAACATGAAAACTTTACAGCTCAAGACCTAGAATAAACGGTTGCTATGGTCGCATTGAATAGTGGATTTAATGATAAGGAGTACCACTTAAAGTTGACATTGTCGCGGAAGCCACCTAAAACTCTAACCAATGCCTACTAATAACAGAGAAATATATCAATGCTAAAGCTACAATGAAAACAAACCGAGATGAGAAAGGCTTATCCCCCTTCTTTGGTCATAAAAAAAGTAAGGAATTATACAATCCTCCCCTAAAAGAGAGACAACATAGGGTTCAAAGCCCTAGATAAGAAAAAAGGTACACTACATTAAATACCTCCCATGAAAGGATTCTGATGCAAATAAAAAAAAATCTCGACCTTAAATAGCCTAAACCACTAAGACAGAACACAAGGCAGGATCTGACAAAAAGATGCACCTTCCACTAAGATATCAACCATAATACAGAAGATTGTGTCGACCCTAAAAATAAAATTAAAGTTCTGATAAAACAAGGTCAACTAAAAAGATTTATTGGGTAGAGAAGACAAAACCAGTTTATAAAAGACTATAAAAATGACCACAGAGCACCCACCTAAGATAAAAAAAAGAAAGATCAAATCAAAAAAAAAATGCCAAAGAGGAAGAGCTAAATCAAAAAAAGAGCTGAGCTGATAATAGCAAGCTAATCAATGGGGTGATTAATGTGATCACAAGAGGTAGCTCCACCTCAATAAAAAAGAAGTTGAACCTAGACTCGATAATGGTAATAGACACTTTAACTAAGAAAAAAAAGGCTAGAAAAATGAGCTAATCTTGTTCAACTCGAAAGATTTGGAGGGGATCCAAATCCACATAATGATGCCATGTGATTAAAGTCTTGGTCTACAATTATATGGTCAAGAGAATCTTATTTGACAATAGAAGTTCGACTGACGTTATATACTATGGCTATTTTAAGAAAATAGGGTTTAATGAAGATCAATTGACGTCAATCATCACAACATTAGTGGGATTTAGAAATGAACAGGTGCCAATAAGAGAAACCATCAAGCTTTCAATCTCTTTGAGAATAAAGCCAAATATGATTACCTTGATTGTAGAATTCATAGGAGTAGATATCACATCTACCTACAACATGATATTAGGTCAACCTAGCCAGCCTATTATGCGGCTCTTAGGCTCAATTCCTCACTTGAAATTGAAATTTCCAACACTTCAGAGGTAAAAAAAGTTCAAAGAAACTAGTCTATAGCACAATAATATTATGTTACAATGATGAAGGGTAAGATTGGAAAGCAAACAGGTAGCTCGGCCAATACCAAGGTAGAAAACAAAGAGGACTGACATAAAAAGTTGACAAAAAGTAAAAAATCGACAACAAGAGCACAAAACGTATAAGCAATTTGAGAGAAATGTGTTTTTAAGCCGCTCTGAGCTCTTAAGCTCTACAAAAGTTTAATTTTGTTCTATTTTTTGAATTTCCTAAGACAATAACAGAAGCGATCAAGCTATTAAGTCGACGTAAAAAATTAATGTTACTTGGATCGAGCTAACACACCGGTTAAAATACAACATTAAATGAAAAATGTACTTCACTTCTAATAATACGGTCAATAAGTTGCTTAATATATTAATTGTCACATTAGGATCTATTTTCGTAGAAAATGATCTAGACCTAATGGAATAAAAAAAGATAATCAATAAAAAATCAAACTCGGATGTAAATCGACCCAAGCTAACTGAGGACGTCATGACAATTCAATTTTGGAATAACATTCCTAAAAAATACATATAGATTGGAGCCAAGCTCCAGCAAAAGGACCAATTGATTCAACTTATAAAAAATAATGCCAACCTATTTGCCTGGACACTATCCAATATGCCCAAAATCAATATCGAAATAATGATTCATATGCTGCATACTAATCTCGAGGTCAAATCAGTTTGACAAAAGAAAAGAACTTTTACCCTTGAAAAATAATAGGACATCGAGGAAGAGGTCAACAAATTATTACAAGCTAACTTTATCAATGAGGTCTATTACCTTGAATGGATAGCTAATGTAGTCTTGGTCAAAAAGCACAATAAAAAATGAAGAATGTGCATGGACTTTACCGACCTAAATAAAGCCTATCTGAAAAATAACTTCTTTCTCCCTAGCATAGATCGACTGGTAGATGATAGTGCCAAACATGGCCTCCTTAGCTTTATGGATGCTTATTCCAACTACAATTAGATTAAAATGTTCAAAAAAAATAAGAATAAAATAGCCTTTATTACTGAGAATGACTTTTACTACTACAAGATCATGCCCTTTGGATTGAAAAATGCAAAAACGACTTACCAAAGGCTGGTCAACAAAGTATTCAAAGACCAGATCAACCACAATGTGGAGGTA